AACTACTCATGCACCTCCCAAACACCTCCAAAATTTGTATTATTTAATGAATATAGGCAATCTGCAACACATATTAACTAATCAAATCTAACCTAACCATCGTCGTCAAACCCAACGTTATCTATCACATATGTTATCACATATTGTTATCAAATATATATTTATTTATTTATTTATTTATTTATTTATTTATTTATTATTTATTTACGGGCAGTGAGCCCAATATATTGTACAAAAATATATAAATTCTACCTAAGTGGGTGTTACAGTTACCCAGCTTTACAAGCAGAGATTATAGAGAAGTAGTTTTAATAATACAAAACACATGATATAATATTTACTGACACATATAGGTACATTTAAATTTTTAGGTTAGTATTAAGATTTGCAATTTGTATTAATATCTAATAAATAAGTGAGGGTGCTCATTGCCAAGGCGCATCATCCTATCAATTGGTTGGTTTCTGCCGTAATTAGTATTGTGTGGGGTAATAGCGAAGGGGGTGGAAGATCTAGTTAGACGGGAAGGAACTTTAAAACCAACTTGTGCGAGTAGGGAAGGAGCATCAATAGATCCATCAATTAATTTATGTAGGAAGAGTAAGTTAGCCTCAACTCTTCTATCAGCTAAGGATACAAGACCGAGTTTGTGCATAACTGGTTGGTAGTCGTGAGGTGGATGATTAATTTTAAGAATAAACGCTGATGAGCTTAAAAATCTTCTCTGGACACGTTCTATAAGAGAAGAATCCACTGCATATTATTTCAAATTTTTTTTTTTGTTACCAGAGATCCTAGTGACCACAATCACATACGACTCTAACATTATATATTCTGACCTACATCTTTAATCCCCGCCACTACACCCTAGTCCTTAATCGACACTGAATCGACGTCATCAGACTCAACATCAGTCCCTTCATCGCCTAAACCAGGGGTCGGCAACCCGCGGCCCGCGGGCCGCATGCGGCCCACAAAGCAATTTTTAATGGCCCGCACAAAGGTGGTTAATTTTTGTGTTTTACTTTTGTTCAATAACATTTTTCATATAATTTTCAATATTATATAATTCTTTTTCCTTTATAAATAAAATCTAATCTAACCGTTTCATAATAGCAATACAATTATAAGTATTATATCATAATATGTAATTTTTTTTTTTAATGTGGCCCTTGATGAACAATTGAAAAAAAAATGTCCCGTGTGGTTAAAAAGGTTGCCGACCCCTGGCCTAAACAAAAGAACAGTTCATAAGAATATCCGATTATTGTTAAAAATACAATTCCAAATAGTATGCAATATATTCTAGACCTACCTAAAATTCATTTAACTTAACCCATACACACATTTACCTAATAAAATGTAAATCTCTAATCCAAATCAAACACGTATATGCATACACACATTTACACACACACACACACACACACGAACAAACAACCAATCACAGACATACATACCTACATGAACACATACACATATATACAAATACATTATCACACACACACATACATACATTAAACCTTTTCAAACATACGTTGTCCATAACTAACCTATCACACCCCTGTCACCAAGGTCGTTTCAGATACAAACCTGCAGAGACATGTCGGAGTATTGTTTATGAATATTAGCCAGACAGTAGTAGCTAAATGAAATTAATTTGTGTACTACCCTTCAAGTGACAAGTCGTGTTAATTCAGAAGTTTTCTCAGTTATTTTAGAAGTATTTTAAAAATTATACTATTAACAAAAATTATAGTTCGCTGTTATATAACTATATATTATACATATGCGCTAGTAAATCACTTAGATAAAATCATTTCACACTGATATTTAAAGTAAAATATATTTTACTATGTTTCATTACTCATCTTTTCGTTGAAAGGTAAAGTCTTGTTTCGCGAGATCGACTAGTGTTTTCAGTTTTAAACGCAATCATGTTTTCGTGCAGTGTATGCGATAAAACCTTTACTAGAATCTGTAGTCTACTCAGACATTTCAATTCACACAATATTTCCAATAAGATTTCTTGCAATATTTGTTCACAAGTGTTCACGCGAAGAGATAACCTCACCAGACATAGCAAAGAAAAACATCATAAGTATAATTTTTTCACAATATACAAATTTATTAGATAAAATATTCATAAACAAATTAATAATAATAATATTATAACTATTTTAAAGTTTAAATATTATAATCCAACAACAACCAACCATAACCAAGCGAGAAATTCAAGATTTTTTGAAACCGACTGAACAAATTTACGATTATGAAGGTAAATATCTCATTTATATCTTTGTATACATAACTTACTTATATTAAATTGTAGAAAACAATAAAACACTTCGTGTAGGAATATAGCTTACCAATGAATTATTAAAACAAAATATTGCTTTATACAAAAATATTTTAAATAAAAATGATATTATTTTTTATGTTTAAATTGTTAGGATACAATACTTATACATTTTAAAGTATCTTAATGAATATACATAAAAATCATCACTTCTTAGTAAAAAATAGGAAATAATAACCTAAATTGTATAAAATTGTGGAAAAATATCATAATTTAGATAAAATCCTGTACAACTAGCATAGTTAGCCCCATTAATAACATACATAAATATTAAGAATATTAGTAAAATAAATTGTCAAATAATTTTTGATAAACTCATGTAATAATATATTAAAGTAATTGAAAATATTCCCAAACGATTATTGTCATAACGTTATTAATAGCATAAACAAATAATTTTAATTTATTATATATATTCTTAAGTATACCCATAAATATTTTGATAAATATATTTGATAATATACATATTCATAATACAATATGAATTTCTCATTTTTCTATGAAAACATTTTTACATTTAATATTATTCCTAGTGAAAACATATTTGGGTACATATTTAAAAATCTTAATAAAATTGTTTTAAAAATTACATAACTCAGACAAGAACATAAGTAAATATTAAACATTTCTATAAACCGATATTCTCATATCAGTTGTATTATTACATACTATAATTTCATGAAACAAACTCGACTAAATATAACATAAACATATAGACATCGATATTCGAGATATATAAAATACAAATTTTTTTTTTTTCATTTGTATTTCCTATACATCTTTTTTTTTTTAATGGTAAAATATGTATCTGATTTAAGCTCTATCCGCTTCAAATCGCAATAGTCTTAAACGTGGATATCATGTGAAAAATTCAAACGAAGCAGTAAATGCTAAAAAACACGCATGAACATCATCAATACCCGTGGTTTTGTTAAGACAGGCACATCGCTCTCAAATGAAATCAATTGGTATTTCATGAAAAATACAGATAATTTGACCAACTACAGTAGTTTTCTAGTAACATCAAAAAGAGACTTAAAACAATTACTCAAATCGCTTTCAACTAAACATCCAATTAAATATAATCTAAAATTGGAAGCTACATACAATAGACCCCATGTTGATAATTCTACAGAGAATAGAGCATTTAAGACCTCAGCCAATGAAATTTTCATGGATACAGATATCGAAGCCAAGATTGATATAGATTTTGATAATCTTATGTCCGAGGAAGACGTCTATACTTCGAAAGGAAGTGGATTTACTTTACAATCAATATATGGCTTGTTGTTGAGTGTATATAAATATACACCTATGAGTGGCTCTTCATATATTCCATTACCAAATGACATTAAAAATAAAAAAGCTGTAATTAACCAACAAAACAGTGATTAACAGTGTTTCAAGTGGGCAATTCTAGCGAAATACGTTTCTGGTAATAATAAAAATCAAGTAGCCAAAAATTATACATTACACGAAGAAAAATACAATTTTTCCAATTTAACGTTCCCAACCCCCATCACTGAAATAAAAATATTTGAAAAAAATAACCAAAACGTATCTGTTAACGTATACGGTTTAAAAAAACAGAAAAAGGGTGAAAAACATATTATTTATCCACTTAAGATCGTCGATGAAGAAGAAAAAGATCATTTTGATCTTTTACTAATTACCAACGGAGATAAAAGTCACTACACATATATATCAAATTTCTCACGACTTGTCCTTGTACAAAAAACTTTACATGACGGTCATGTAATATTTTGCAAACGGTGTTTCACATCATTTGACAGTCAGCCCCGGAAAAATACGCTAAGCGGACAAGCAGCACTAGAACAACACAAAATGATATGTGGAACACACAAACCTATCCTACCTCAGATACCTGCGCTCGGTACAATATCAGAGTTCGATAGCTGGAATAAAACTCAACGACACCCGATAGTTATATATGCCGATTTTGAGGCACTTCTTGTTAAATGTAAAGAAAGAAAAGGTTAAAAAACAACAGTTTTTCAAAAACATGAACCGATGAGCTATGGGTTTGTCGTAAAGGCTGCAGAAAACGTTCCGATTGATATGCTAGAAAAGTTTAATTTACCACAAGAACCCATTATTTTCCGTGGTAATGAGTCTCATCAAGACGTAGCCAAAAGATTCGTGAATGAAGTGACAGAGATCGCAAGAAGAGCTCAAGATTTGCTTCAAACAAATAAACCCATCATAATGACCAAGGAAGAGCAAACAGCACATATGATGACAAATACATGCAATTTGTGTAAATGTAATTTTTCCAACAAAAACAATAAAGTGGCAGATCACTGTCACTTATCGGGCAAATTCAGACAAACGTTGTGTAATACCTGCAACCTCAAGCTTCAAACACCGAATTTCATACCATGCTTTCTACACAATTTATCAAATTATGACGCACATTTTATCGTAACAGAGTTGGGTTACGATTCCAAAACTATTTCGGTTATTCCAAATAGTGAAGAAAATTTCATTTCATTTTCAAAACACGTGACCAATAACTTTTCAATACGATTCATAGATACTTTTCGATTCATGGCATCGAAACTATTAACACCTGCAGACAATTTAACAACACCCGGGTTCGAAAAGTTCAGAGGACAGCAAAACACTTTTTTACCGAAGATATGCAGCTCCTTACTCGTAAAGGTGTTTACCCTTACGCCAAGACAGTATGGAATAATTTTAAATGCAAAAATCTCGGAGAATATAGCGACCTTTATCTCAAAATCGATGTTCTATTATTGGCCGATGTATTTGAAAACTTCAGAGACATGTGCATTTCAACATACAATTTAGACCCCGTTTTCTATTATACCGCTCCGGGATTCAGTTTCGACTGCATGTTAAAATACACTAACGTCAAATTAGAACTACTCTCTGACTTTGACATGCACTTATTTTTTGAAAACTCAATCCGCGGCGGTCTCACACAAGCTAGCATGAGGTACGCTAAAGCCAATAATGAAAAGACTCCAGATTATGACACGACTAAGCCAAATTCATGGATAGTTTATCAAGACTGCAACAACTTGTACGGGTGGGCAATGTCACAGTATATGCCGTACGGTGACTTCAAGTGGGTTGAACCTAAATTAGACGGACTAGATGTTTTATCACCTACCTCAGATTTATGCAGAGTGTATGAAGTAGACATATCATACCCAGAAAATTTACATTAACGTAATGCAAAAACATTATGGTGACAAAATCGAGCTCATGTACACAGATACAGGTAAATTATTATTATTATTATTACTATTATTATTAATACCTTATAATTATTTTTTTCTTTAGATCCTTTAGTATATTATATCCAGACCAGTGGTTAAAGTGAGGGGACGGAGGGGGACGGCGTTCCCCTTCTTTGCTTAGCTTTAGTTTAATTTCCGGAGGGGTGGTTAAAATATTCATTTAATTATAAAAACTGAATGTTAATACCTACATTAAAATTTAAAAGTATAAAAAAAATTTTAAATCTGAGTATATATGTATACTATATAATATAAGCTATACAT